GCGGAGGCTTCTTCGTGATCCAGATAAGTGTGTGTTCGTCTCTGTGTGTGTCATTTGTTGTCAGTTTGAGGCTGCTCTTTAGTTTCCCATGTTCACGCGGCCTTGGCTCTGCGTAAGAAATGCCGGATTGAGCTTTCGGACAGTAGCTAGAGCAATTCGATATTGGAGCCTCTACTAACTCTCTAGTAGTAGCTAACATTATCAAGTGTTGCATTTTGCAATCAAAGAATCAATGTTTTTGTATGGCATCATTTAGCAGCATCACCACAGCAGTCCTCTCGGACAGCCGGACAGCACAAACTTATGCATGGATGCATGCGCGCATGCATATGTCACTTGCTCATGCAAAGCAGCACTACAATGATACAAGCGGCATGTGCGATCTATGACGCGGGATCGTACAGAACTCATACAGCACGGCAAAGCCCACATAGGAGGCTCTCCCTGAACCCTAAACCCTAAACCGCTGACCTACAAATGCTGCATCTAAGGTGCTGCAAGTGAGTGGGTCGGTCGTAGCTCGAGCCCCGGGCTTGCGAAAGTATCTACTATAGGGGTCTGAATAAGTACCTGCACAAGTTTTGGGGTTCCTTATGTATAGCATAATATACCGCCAGAAGCCCTATTCTAATTATTAAGGCCCCTAAAATCAATCCTGAGCTGCTTGTTTCGACCATTTCAGAAGCCCTGGGCATGCCCCCGGGCATACTACACTGCTGCACCTGAGCGGCGGAAAGCAAAAGAGTGCCAGTGTGCAGGGATTTCAGGGCAATTCCGGTGATCATCACGACAAGTTTTATCGTGACTTGCTCGTGATGCTTGGTAGCATACATCACAACAGTATATTGCGTGCGTCGTTGTTGCGGTTGTCCTGATTGAAGTATGAGAGACTGGTATTGCCCTCGCGATTACACCGGCCTCTTGATTACTCTAGCCGGGTATTCAGTTACTGTCGGCTGCCGCTATGTTTGGCTTCAACAGTTTATGCTGCTTTCGTTATTACTGTTATGCTCATGTGCAGCTTCACTTGTTGTTGTGTTTGGCACCATCGTTGCGCTTGCTATTCCTCGTTGTGATTCTAACCTCATTGATCCGGTTGTAGATGAGAGAGAAAGAGAGAAGGAGAGAAAGAGAGAGAGAGAGAGAGACTGAGAAAGACATAGAAGGACAGACAGACGGATATGCATACATGTGCAATTCAAGTTACTAGTAGCTATAGATGTAGACACACCTATAGATATAGATCTAGGTATACATATAGTTATAGGTATAAGAAGAGATACGACAGAGATACAGATACAGATATCGACGGCCACGGTCCCCGGCGTGTACACATTTTTCGTGCTGCCGAGGCACCTGGACTATTCGAAGAACGTGGAGGCCGGAACCTCGTGTCGAAGTGGTCTGGTTTAGGGTTTGGGGTTTAGGGTTTAGGGTTGAGGATTTCTATGGTTTCGGCTTTAGTCTAGACTTTTGGTGGCTGTCACGTTTCAAGGGTCTCTGGTATCAGGGCGTCAGGGCCCCTAAACCATAAAAAATGAGGGTTTAGAGATGTTTGGAGTTTCGGGTTGAGGATTTCAGGGTTTATGGTGGAATCTGATTTCGCCGTGCTGAGGTCCCAACGCTTTGCTGGCAACGGTGGCGTTGTCCCAGCGGGATCCGATCCAGTTGAAGAGGCCTGAACTACAGGAGCTGTGAAGGTTTATGAAGACTCATAAAGCTGTGCGCAGAAGCGGATCGCAGATCCCTTTTCCCCAACATGCTGGTCGGAGTGTTGCAGAACTCCTTCGACTTCTTAGTTGACAGATTGACCTTGAAGTGGTGCGAGGCTTTTGCGGGCGATGCTGGACAAGGCATGTCCAGTGCTGGCTTCAAAATTGCAGCAAAGGGAAGTCTAGGGTGAGGGGGGGGGGGGGTGTTCCTCATGCG